GATTTATTATTAATAATTGGATGTTCCTTTTCAAATAAAGATAAGCATTCTATTCATAACGCGGAGTGAAAATCTCCCTATGTGCTTTCTTTTCATTCCTTTCTTTCCTTCCCTCCCTTTCTTTCTTTAGCTTAAACAACAGAAATTTATTTTCTCACAGTTATGGAGGCAATGGAATTCTAAGATCAAGAGGCCAGCAGGGTTGGTTTCTCTTGAGGCCTCTTTCCTTGGCTTGCTAATGTCCTCTTTTCCTCTCTGTGCTCCCACCTTCCTGGTGTTATTGGGTCATAGTTGTCTGTTCTCAGTTCTTGGTGTGCTCTTGGCCAAAATATGAGCAAACGAACCAAAAGCAAGGCAGGTGTGAGACGAAGTTTATTGAGGAAGGACAAGATAGGTTCGCAGAGCAAGTGCAAGATATGTTCGCCACAGACGACGAATGGACGCCCTGTCATAACAAGAGGGGCCACCCTGTGTGCTTTATATGTTGAATTCTATCTATCAGTTCAAGTGTAAATGTGCCTCAGAATGCAAGTACTTCTTACAGGATACCTGCTGTGGAGATTCTCTTTCTACTCAAGAAAGACTCTGAAACTGGCGTGCATGCAATTAAATATGCAAAAGCCGAACGCAGTGGCTCACTCCAGTAATCCCAGGAACTCAGTAGGCTGAGGCAGGAGAATTGCTTGAGGCCAAGAGTTCAAGACCCATAATGGGCAACACAGTGAGATCCCGTCTCTAAAAAATTGAACTAGCTGGGCATTGTGGCAGGCGCCTGTAGTCCCAACTACTCAGGAGGATCCTTTGCAGTTTGAGGCTGCAGCGAGCTGTGATCACACCACAGTTCTCCAGCTTGGGTGACACAGTGAGACCCTGTCTCATTTAAAAAAAAAAGAAAGATATGCAAATGGACAAGCAATATTGTCATCTTAAGAGCCAGTTACACTGTCCCAGTGCCACATTTCTAGAACCAAGATGTCAGCTCGTTTGATCTGCTATAGCAAGATCGCAGTGCTGGCATATTTGGTGTCTGGTGAGGGCCTGATTTACCTTCTTGCTGCATCCTCGAATGACTGATGGGGAAAGGCAGCTCTCTGGGGCCTCTTTTATAAGGGCACTAATCCCATTCATGAGTGCTCTACCCTCATGACCTAATCACCTCCCCAAAAGCCCCGCTTCCTAATACTGTCACATTGGTGATTAGATTTCAACATATGAATTTGGGGGATGAGGGGACAGAATTATTCAGACCATAGCACAAGGCTTAGGGACAATTTTTTTCTCAAGTAATTGTGTGATGCAGTAAAAGCATGCCAAAAAATATTAGAAATAAAGAAAATAAACAAGGGCAACACATTAGGTTTGTTTCTGAAAACATTCAGAAAACATTGAGTAGTGCACAAAGTTTCAGTTTGTGAGAATGCCTCAATGAAATTTATCACCACTGACCATCATCTTCAAATCCAGGAGTTAAAGAGCAAATGCTTTTATCTTAGTCAATTACTAATGGAGAGGAAACACATATAGTAATTTGGTAGCAACTTCATCATGAGTTCCTCCCCACTCTACACTTTTTAAAGTAACTACTATACTTAATATCTTAAATTAGCAGTTTAATGAGTTTGGGAGCAATTTAGCAGTTGACAACACTGAGAAATTAATGATTCCACACTACATTAAATTTTAAAAACACATGTTTTAGTAAAATTATAATAATTTTCAAATACAATTTCATACTTATTCGTGGATTCTGGAAGCATATTCTATGATGGTAATTTTCAGTTTAGGCCTTGGCCAAATATCAATTTCAAGACTCAGCCATTGAACATATGGTCAATATGTGTATTTCAATGCACTATCAGTGTGACTCAGCCATACGCCACACTTGAGACAGGGCAATCACCAAGGTTACATACCCAGTACAGACTCATCTCCAGGTCACCCATTTGCCATGTTTGTGGACCTCATGTAAGAGGCTCACCACAATGCTCACGCACCAAGAACTTGTCCATCCATCTCAATCCTTAGAGAAAGAAGAAGGTAAGTGTCAGGGGCAAAGGGGGAGTTCAGCCTATACAAAAATAAATGAAATTTTAATATACTAAAATCAACTTTCCACTCTGAAAATAATATCTACCAAAGTAGAGTCAATAAATATTATTTAAATTTTCTTTCAATTTAACAGGACCAAATAACTAAAAATGATTTTTGTACTAAAAAATAAAACATTTAAAATTTCCATCAAATACTTTTCCCCATTATGATATTCTAAATGGCAAGACGAAGAAAAATAATAAAAAAAAAGAAAGAAAAAATGAAACAAAGTGAAAAAAAAAAACCAAAAAAACCAAATACTTTTCCCCAAAGGCAGAAGTAGTGTCAAATCTTCAGAAAAAGAGGGCAGGTTGTCTATTTGGAAACTCAGGTAAGGCTATCAAATAAAATGATGGTTCATGCTGTCATTTCAAGTGCCTATAAAGAAGAGATGAAAGATAGTAAGGAGTTCCTACTTTAAGGATTATTCACAAAAGTCTTAAGAATAATATAGCTGAAATCTCAAAAAGGCAAGTCATTATAATAGAATGGGCATGATTACATACCAAATTAATCAGTAGGTTACAACACTGCCTGACAGAATTTGGGCCTGGTTCAGAAGGCCTGATGGTATATAATAGACTTTACCATTTTCACCTTAACGACATAGCGTATCAGTGAATTCATGTCCGTTTTCTTCTTTATTAACCAACCTACATTAGACTGGATTTGAGAATGCTGATTGTATAAACAAAGAAGAAAAAAGGAAGGTAGGCAACCAGAAAAGGAAAACCACTGGCTAGCCCAAAGAGGCTCCTAGAGGGACCTTGAGCATTCTTTGTGACAGAGACACTAATTGGTACACTTCTAATTTCTCATACATGTCAAGTTCGTGCTTGACTTCTGTACCTTTGTGTTCACTATTCCTCCCTTTGCACGTTTCTAGTTCCTTTTCATCCTTCCTGTATCAGTTCTCTAACAAGGGTCTTTCCTGATAACTTTCTAAAGTAGTACCCATCACCTCTGTCCTTACTTCCCAGCACATCATCTTGTGTACTTCCCTATTACCATCAGAAGTTTGCTCCTATACTGTCTACCATCATTAAAATGCAAACTCAAGGGGTGGCCTTTTTGCTTATCATTATATCCAGACATCTAAAAATATTTGCTGAATAAGTGAATGGAAAAGTGGTAGAAAGCAAGCAATCTTACTTCTGAGAAATTATTCTAAAGAAATAACAGGTCAAGTTCACCAAGATATAGATACTAGATATTTATAACAGTAAAAAACAAGAAATTGCCTAAATGTGCATCCAAATAAAACTGTTAAATTAGTTGTGATATATATGGAAGATTAAAAGGAATATCAAAGACATTTTTCTAATACAGAGTGAAACAAGCAGATTACAGGCCAATTTGTGTGGATCACATTAATATATAGAAAATAACAAAAACAGTATATTGTAGTATAAGTTTAGCACAAAATAAAAACTAAAACAAACAAGATGGGCTGGGTACAGTGGCTCATGCCTGTAATCCTAGCATTTTAGGAGACCAAGGCGGGAGGATCACTTGAGATCAGGAGTTCAAGACCAGCCTGAGATCTCCATCTCCACAAAAAATAGAAAAATTAGCCAAGCATGGTGGCATGTGCCTATAGTCCCATCTACCTGGCAGGCTGAGGTAGGGAGATTGCTTGAGCCCAGGAGTTTGACGTTGCATTCAATTGTGATGACGCCACTACACTCAAGCCCCAGGCTACAGGGTGAGACCCTGTGTCAAGAAAAACAAAAACAAAAACAGAAACAAGATGTTAAAAAATAGGAGCCGTCAATTTGCTTTTGACTAATTTTTTTCTTCTAAATTTCCCCTCTGCACAACTTTTGGCAGAAAAACTTTATGAAATGAACAAATAGTATATCAGTCAGTCAGTCTGTTTGGGTGTACAAGAAAAACTTCAGTTGACTATTAAATAAAGGGTGATCTTTTCTTGGCCTAATAGTGGTGAAAATGGCTGATTTACATACTTATGCCCTTTCACATACTATTCCAAAGCAAACATACCCAAATGCCTACTTTACCTCTCAGGATATCATTGCCAATGAAATTATTACTACTCTACTATCCTAATATTTTAAAACAAACAGCATTGAATCTTTAAATCTTAGTTTCAACTGTTCACTGTGTAATCAGGCTATTTCAGGTCTAAAACGATTCCATTTTAATATTTCCCCTTTAAAAAATCCTTACAGAACCACTGATAATTTTTCAACAGATGACTATTCCCTGCTTTAAATATAAACTGGACAAATCATATACAAAATAGTAGTATGATAATATTGTGCCGCCTCAATTCCATTCTACTCTCTATATCGGAACAAAAAAACCATTATAACTGAGTTCACAACAGCCTTCTTTGATCTTAACTCAAGTTAGCAATATATATACAAGAAGCTGTGAACAACAGAAGCTCTTTATGATATCCAGATACAAAGCTGCTGAGAAAGTCTTTATAATGCCAATCAAAGAGCAAAACATCTGGTTAGTTTTCAAACTAAATGAACTGCTTTACCCTCCCCATGCCAACCATCAAGGAATAGGTCCTTTATGTCTTTCCCATTCATTACTGACTGATGTAACAATTCTCAACAACATTCTCACTAGTTTCATGATCATTCAATTTTTTCCCATTCTTTTAAATAACTCTCTCCATTTCATTATAGATACAATAAGCAAGGTGATGGCACACAAATTTTCTTTTAGTTCTTAATTTTTAAAAAGTGTCATGTAATTTTATTTTTTTTTCCAGTAGAATGTTTTTCAAAACATTTAAACAAATGGTAATAGTTGACCTGGTATCAATGCTGTATTTAGACATTTCAAAACCAAAGTTTAAACTAAATTTAAACTAAAACTTTCATATTATTGAATAAATTTCCAAGGATGATAATTAAAAAAATCATTCAAAGTGTGTTACAGTCTAGTGTTTATTTTATGTTATGGCAGGTACACTTGAATTTCAAAAATTTAAAACATATAAAAAGTGGTTAGGGACTAACATTTGTATCAACAATTGATAAATGTCTAAGATTGTTTATTATACAGCAGGGTACAATGGTAGTGCTAATGCCAACAGGGCACCATGGAAGTTAGTCTAAAAATTATCACTAGGCTTTATACAAGCAACAACATATGCTGCTGTTTTAGAATTTCCAAACACGATCTGCTTCTAATACTAAGCAGTCCTTTAACATTTTTAATGTTATACAGTGTTACAGTATTTAGTTTGGCAAATGTTTCAAAATAAAGTAGAAATGTATTCATAACATCACAGAAATGCACATCCAATTTTGTGTTCAATAAGAACCATAGGTACAGATCAGAACTCTTCCCTATATGAAATAATTTACACACAGATGAATGCTATAATATCGCTATCTAAAATAATCACTAAATACAATTCTTTTTCAGAAATAAACAAGCAAAGATTTTTTTCATTATCAAATATCAAAAACATGTAGATAATGTATGCTTTTCAAACAAATGATACTCTAAAATTATAGGAATAATTTCAGTGAATTCAGTGAATATGCAACCTAAATCAACCAAGTATATTGTAGTACAACCATATTAAGAAACCAATGATCAGAAAATACAACCGTATGAAAGAAATTTATAATCCACAAACTGTTTTTCAGGCCTTAAGGTAAAACAGTTCCACAGTTTATAGGTAAAACTTAGGCAACAAAAATGCGTGCTTGTCTCGAATAAGTAGATATTTTATGCAGAAGATGTAACACTTTGTTTGTAGACTGCGTGGTATGCATTTCGCAGCAAGACATAAGGAAAACAAGATTCCAAAAGATCCATTGTCAGGAATGGGGATTCTTGCACAATCTGAAAAATTCCAAAAATGCATCAAAATTCAAGTTATTTATAATAGGAATACTGACAACTACTAAGCCATAATTTCTATATATTTTTATTAGAAAGAGACATAAGTTCTTTTACTTTAAAATCATAAATTTGCCACAGTGAATTCTATCAAAATGTTTAAAAAGTGGTACTTCTCAATTAAACATACTGAGCATTTTCATTGCCCTCAGCAATATACTAGGCATAAAAGAGAATAAAAAGACATTTAAGAGATAGTCCATACCATCAGCTCTAACTGGGAACCAGAGACTAAGCTAGGAAGCAAAACCAAACATAAGACCAGCTACTATTAAATGGAAAGCTGTAAATTCTAGAGAAGTTCAAAAAGGAAGATAGATTAATGTAGGACAGAGTAACAGGAAAGACTATCTGGAAAAAGATTTGCACCATAGAGTGTGCTGAGTCATTAGGATAGACACAGATCTCTGCAGGCAAGGGAAATGACTCTAAGTGAGGAAAGAGCTGCGTGGTAGAAACAAGTATAGCGGGGGTCACAGACACTGCAGAGAAGGAACTTACCAGGTATAGAGAATTATAGGAAGTTATATTAGATGGATGGAGTCAGAATAAAAAACACAGAAAACTGAAACAGATTTGAAAACGATACACTGGAAAAATATAAGGCCTAAGTGTTTTCCAACAGGTTGAAAAGCTGTTCATGAAAGAATACTCTACCGTTAATGCTAATCTCTTTGACTTTGTTGTTTTCTGACATTACCATAATGGTAAAATATGAGTGATGTCAGTCTTTTCAGCCATTTTTATAAAGTGTGTGGCTTAGGTGGAGTGAACACAAAGGATCAAAAAAGTACTTCTTATTGTTATTCAATCACTGAAATGCCAAGAAGAGACTCTCAGGAATGACTGGAACTTTTTTGTTGTTAGTAAAAATTGAGACTTACCATATCTAACAGTAAATACACAGATTCTCTGTTTCTTGTTGTAGTTTTATCTGTCTCCTGGCCAATTTTCAGTAGACTGGAGGATGCAAGCTTAAAAGTACACATACATATAAAGTGAATTTTTTTATGAAAAGTTCATCAGTTACTTGTTTATTTTTGATTTGCTTAAACTTCCAATACATTTCATCCATTCAGTGCTATGTATAAAATAATGAGCAATGAAATAACAAGATGAGCTTAGATACTTAAGATTTAAGCATTAATATAGAGAATTATTAAGGTATAAAGAGACACAAAGATAATAAATGTAATCAAATATTCTGCTTGGTCTTTAAAACTAATTTTTTTCAGAACAAGTCTGCTTTTTAAAATGATTCAGATTATTTTCTCTCTTTTCAATATCTGTATTAACTATATTTCTTAGTTCCCAAATAAGAAGATAATTTCACACTGGACTTGAATTCATAGGGACTCTATGAGATTAGGACATTAAGCCCTGAATGAAGAAAATAAAGCCAATGGAAACAAAAATTTTTTAATTTTAATACTGTTTTCCCTGATGTAGAACTATTTTATTCTCAAGTTAGTACTACATTTGCTTTTTAAATTAAAAAATAAATTTTAAAGAAGTTAACAGGATTTATAACTGAAAAAGAAGCAACTATTCTAGAGTTCACTATGCCATAGTGCATCTTTCCTTTAAGTAATATAAGAAAAAAGCTACATTGATATAGGAAAGAAAGAACTACACTGACATAGAAACTAAGAGCCATATTTCATGAGGCTAGATTTAGCAATACTCTCTTTTGGTAGGGAGTAGTATTTTTATTGTTGAGTTTGTGACCATTAATGGTCTTTCTTGAAATAAACAGAAGTAAGAAAAATATATCTTTTTGGAGGGAATTCTCTCTTTGTCTTGATTTCCCTTTGCTTTCTCTTCCAAACCCTAGAAAAATTTCAAGGGCAGTCCTAATATCACATTAGGGAAAAAAAGGTCATATTCTCCAGAGTTCCAGAAAAGGGGGACAGACTTTTCAATATAAGGGGAAAAAAATGACAAACTGACCGCTCCTTGATTTTAATGCCCTACCTTCACTTGTTCCTCCCTCCAAAAAAAATAAAAAAGAAAAAAAAATTAAAAGAAAAGAAAAAGCCATTAGAGGACACTAAATAAAATTTAAAAATAAAGAGAATTTACTCTTAGATCTCAGAGTCATGATTTTTAATTTTCTTTATAAAATGTCATAAATTTTGTTATTTGATTATACATACCGCCAGAAATTCTTTAAGACGGTCTTCAATGCTTCCTTTGTGAATTGTAAACAAAGCTGCAGCGATCTGGTTGATGGCTTTGGCCAAACAATGTATGTTGTTGCAGTGCCCTGAGAAAGTGTAAATAGGGTTGTGTAGATTCTGTGTGACCCCCAAAGTATCAAATAATACACAGAAGGCAAATCTTTAACGACTACATGATGTACATAAATAGTGGAATGATTAAAAGTAGAGCTGCTATATGACATGACTTGTTCTCTTTCACTTGCATAAAGACTAGTGTTTTTAAAAATAGTGCAGCAAGGGGCCAGGCGTGGTAGCTCATGCCTGTAATCGCAGCATTTTGGGAGGCCAAGTTGGGAGGATCTCTTGAGGCCAAGAGTTTGAGACTAGCCTGGGCAACATAGTGAGACTCTGGCTCTGCAAAAAATTAAAAAATTATCCAGGCACAGTGGTGTACCCCTATGGTCCCAGCTACTCAGGAGGCTAAGGCAAAAGGATCACTTGAGCTCAAGAGTTTGAGGTTACAGTGAATAAGGACTAGGCCTCTGCACTCCAGCCTGAGTGACAGAGAGAGACTTTTTTTTTCCCCTTGGAGACAGAGTCTTGCTCTGTTTCCCCGAGTAGAGTGGAGTGGCATCATCATAGCTCACTACGTCAAACTCCTGGGCTCAAGCAATCCTCTTGCCTGAGCCTCCCGAGTAGCTGGAACTACAGGCACGCGCCACCATGGCCGGCTACAGGCGTGCGGCCAGGATGCCTGGCTTTTCTATCTTCAGTAGAGACAGGTCTCACTCTTGCTCAGGCTGGTTTCAAACTCCTGAGCTCAAGCAATCCTCCTGTCTGGGCCTCTCACAGTACTGGATTACAGGTGTGAGCCACGGCGCCTGGCCTAGACCCTGTCTCTTTAAAAAAAAAAATAGTGTAACGAGAGCAATGAATGATCATGTCTGTGTTAAATAGGCAAATACTCTCAAAAACCTTTAAAATAAATCATATATCAGTTTTATAGTACTTTGGAAACTTAAAAAAGAAGTTCATAGCAGCTTGACAAACATTTTATTGTTCAATACTTAAAATAATCCAATGAGTTAGGTATTTTCTTACTATGCTCTACCACATACACATTCAGGCACACATGAGCTCACTTTTCCTATATCAGGAAATTGGGGCTTAGAAAAAGGGAATGGACTACCTTTCCATTACACAGCAAGTGGCAGAACTTAAGTCATATTTTATTATAAAAGAACATCAATTACTTGAAAAGTATCTACTATACCAAAACTCACAATTTTTCCATTGCCAAAACAATTTTAAACCACTATTACCTTCGATAGCAGGGCTGTACTGAGACATCACATTACTGGCCAGTGTTGGCAAAGAAACTGCCACAAAGACCATGAGGAGGCAGGCAATTTTATATTCTTCTTCTGGACTAATGTTTTCTAAGGGAGAAAAATTAAGAATAAAATCAAGATATTTCTTCAAGATTAGTCAAGATTTGATCATCTAAACTAGATGAAGCATTTTTAAGTAAAATTTGTTTGCTACTTTATTTGAAATAGTAAAAATATTTTACTACAGCTCTACAGAACTGCTCCCAATTTTGTCAAAAAAATATAGAATAAAGTAGAAACAAGTACATTACTACTGGCTATTATCAACTACTTAGGCATATTTCAAGGATCTCCAATAAAACAGTAAGGTACAATTTTACTTTTTTTATTCATAAGATTATAGGACAAAAAATATAGTCAGGGTAACTGGAATCTTAAAATTTCCTAATTGAAAACTAATGAGAAATAATTAGTTTACAAGAAAACTCCATGTACTACAGTTCAGAAGGTTTATCTCAAAAATTATTCTGCAAAGTCACAAAAAAAATCCTTAATTTTTTTTCCTGAAATTGATATGAATGTGATTTGAAGTTTACTGTTCAAAAAATATAAATGGGGAAAGTAGACTGGATTCTCAACCTATTTTAGAAGATAAAAGGAACTAGTAATGAACGAAAATACCTAGCATTGTCTTAAAGCTTTCAAACACAACCCCTTCTAAAATATTTATTATAATATGTACTCAAATCATGGGTTATCTAGGCACTTGACTTCTTATTTGGTAC